TTTTTGTGAGGTTGATGTCAAGAAGGTAAGGAACCTAAAAGAGCTAATAAGGAGGTTTGAAAGGCTACATAATATGAAAATCAACTCAGAAAAAAGTTGCACATCAGGTGTTAATTTGGGGCATAGGGAAACTAAGGCTATTGCGGGTTGTTTTGAGTGTTTTGAGTGTTCCATCTTTAGGGGCCAACCCTAGGGAGAGTAGGTTTTGGAACCCAATGGTAGAAAAGTTTGAGAAGAGAATAGCTTCGTGGAAGAACTATGTCTCCTTGGGAGGGCAATTCACTTTGATGAGAGCCACTCTTGCCAATTTTCCAACCTACTTCCTCTCTGAGTTTAGGATCCCACCTAGAGAAGTTAAGAAACTAGAGACATTAATGAGAGATTTTCTTTGAGAGCTGGGGGAAAGCAAAATGGTCCATCTAATTAAATGGGAGATTATATTTAGAAGTAAAGAGGAAGAGGGTTTAGGCAAAAAATAGCAGCCATACCCCATGGACGTTTAAACATGTGATTAGGGAAGTGGAGAAGATTGCAAAGGAGGTTGATGTTGAATTCAAATGGGTCCGAAGAAGTGCAAATGGGCTAGCTGATGGATTAGCAAAACAGGGGGCATTTAGACAACAATTATTTTGGGCTGCACTGTAATGAAGGGTAGAATAGAATGATTAAAGGGGATCAACAGTCCCATCACCAAGTTGTATAAACTGCTTATAATCTGAATTTAATAAAATTCATTTTTACTGATCAAAAAAAAAAAAAAAGAAGGGGGTTTAGGCATAAGCAATGTGGTACAAAAGAATGCAGCATTATTAGGAAAACGGTTTTGGAGGTGGCCTTCGGAGAGGAGTTTGTGATATGAAGTGGTGGCAAGTATTCATGGTTGTTTAGAGAGTGGTTGGGATGCCGGTGTATCTTGTTGGGCCACTTTGGCAACACCATGGAAGGCAATTCACAGTATTCTTCCCCAGTTTCTAGGTATAATGTGTGTTTTGGGAATCCTGTTTTGTTTTAGGAGGATGTTTGGGTTGGAGATTGTGCTTCAAAGGACCGTTTTCTTTCCTTGTACTCCATCACTTTGTATGAAAAGGAGGTTGTGTCAAAATTCCTTTTACTCTAACTCCAGATTTTGGGTTCCGTAGAGGGTTAAGGGATTAGGAGATTGATTGTTTATCCATTTTGTTGAGTTTCCTTAGTAAGGTTTGTTTGGATCCCTCTAAACTATACAAATGGGTTCAGTCTCCACTTTCCAAAGGGTCTTTTTCTTGTACTTGATTTTTTAAAATCCCTTTTAATCTTCTCCTCAATATTTTCCTATTAAGGAAGTCTGGTGTAGGCTTGTTTCCCTTAAAGTTAGTGCCTTTTGCTGGCAAGTGTTTTATGGGAAAGTAAACACCTTTGATAACTTACAAAGGAGAAGACCTTTCCTGGGTGTATTTCACCTAATTGGTGTATTCTTTGCAGGTCTAGCGGTGATAACTGCTACCATTTACTAATTTCTTGTTTTATTGCTATAGAATTATGGGATTGGTTTTTCTCTTTGTTTGGGTGCAGGTGGAATGTGCCATTAGAGCTTAGTATGCTATTTGATTCCTTTACCTTTGTCTGGCCTAAAAAACAAGGATTATGTGGAGGTGTGTTAGATCAGCTCTGTTGTGGACCATTCGGGAAGAAAGGAATGCAAGAATTTTCCAAGAGAATGAAAGAAGACTACAAGAAATAAAGGTCTGTGTGTTGAACAGGGTAATCCATTGGTTAAAAACTTTAGAGTTATTCAATCAATTTTCCTTTGATGATTTGTGGGGGAATTGGTCAACTGTGGCGATGTGCTCTTCCAAAAGGAATAGAGCACGGTTGACTTGGACACCTCCTCTTGAAGGTTATTTAAAGCTAAACTTTGATGGAAGTAGTCAAGGTAATCCATGTCTATCTGGAATAGGTGGGATCTTGAGAAATGAGGTTGGGAATATTTTATTATTTTTTCTAGGTTCACTAGGAGCAAGGTTCAAAGTATCGGAAACGTCAAGTGTATCGGGAAGGCAATTTTAATAGATGTATCGAGATACGCCTTGGATACGCATGCGTACCGAAGAAAAACTATGATACATATAGATACGTTTGGAAACACTATAAATACTTCAATAAATAAAAAAAAATACATTCAACAACACTAAATATAAGACCTCAATGAAGTGTATATACATTAAATCAATATATTTTAATGGTTTTATGAAGAAATATATTGTAGTTAATTATAATTTCATTAAAAATCCTATGCTTAACTATAATTTATAAATTATAATTCTTAAGTTTTAATGTTTTATGGGATGGGAAAAACCCAACTCTCCTATCCAACCATAAAACATGCATTGGCACAACTTCTAAGTGAAAATATAATTAATAATTATTTATTTCCAAAAAATTATAAAAAAATAAACATTATATAATATATTCAAAAAATAGTTATTAAAGAAGAAATTTCAATTGCTTTGTGGATATGATAGATCATCCATAGAATTAGAATATATTCAATCATTTTGATCAAATGATAAAATATAATTAACCATTTATATATTTTTTAATTCTAAAAATATAAAAAAAATAATTATTAAAGAAGAAATTTGAATTGGTCTGTGGATATGATAGATCATCCATAGAATTATAATATATTCAATTGTTGTGATCAAATGATAAAATATAAGAAATGTAGATCAACATAAATTTAAACATTCAAGAAAAAAAAAGAAAACACAATATATTATAAAAAATTTACTTAGTTTTGCCTTATTTTTTCAAAATTTGAAAAATCTTCAAAAAAAAAAAAAAGATTCACACTTGTTTCTTGCAAATTTTTGCAAATCTAGCACACTAGGAATGAGGTTTGGTTAGAGTCATTTGGGGGGGGGGGGGTGAAGGCTTATTTCAGGGAAAAGAAACTTGCTTTCCCCTTTTATTTTATTTTTTTCAGTTTTTGACTGTACCTTTTTTGTCAATACGCTCTGATACACATACACCCCCCAATACACACCCGATACGGGTCCAATACGCATGAAAAAAGAAGAAGCACCTGATTTCCATGCGTATCCCATATTTGTTTTTCAAAGATACAATACAACACACCCTATCATATCAAAATTTTAAACCTTGACTGGGAGTTGGGGACTTCATATCGGCTTGGTTTGGAGTCTCTTTTGATTGAAGGGGATTCAAAGGTGGTGGGGTGTGTTTGAAGGACTCCGAATCTGTTAGTTGGTGCTATAGGAGTAAAATCAAGAAATTCAAGTGGCTTACACAAAATATGAATATAAGAATGTAGTGGGTGGGAAGATAGGTAAATGCTTTGGCTGATTGTTTAGCCAAGCAAGGGGTAACTAGGGAGTATTTGTTTTTGGGCTCAGTTGTAATTTTCTTTAATTTTTAACTAATGTTATTGGAGAGGATGCAGCTCGTGCTTCTCTTAGGGATGCTTGTATTGCTTTGATCTTTTGAATTAATAAATTCTTCATTGATTAAAAAAAGAATTCTTATGGTATTCATTTATCTAGAGAAGGGATATGATAGAGTTCCTAAAGAGATAATATAGTGAATTTTGGAAAAGAGTTCTTTTTGGGCTAAAGCTGTAAACATCTCAGTGGAATCTTTTTTGTTACTAGTATACATTATGAAGTTTTGTCATTTTCATATATTGTGCAGTTACACCTTTGGAAGTTTCTCCCTTCGATTTTCTGCAATGCAATTATACTCTACCTTTACTCAAAAAAGAAAAAAGAAAAGAAAGAAAGGAGTTCCAACTTCCAAATAAGTGTGACCTAATTAATGACATGTATGAAGGTGCAGCAACTAATGTTAGAACACCCATGGGAGAGACATTAGAATTTCCAATTGTGATGAAACTTAACCTAGGCTTAGCACTTGGTTAAGTTGACGAATCATGTCCAGAAGGCAGCCCCATTGTGCTTGTTGTTAGTTGATGATATAATATTAATTGATGAATGAAACTAAAGAAGGATTAAATGCAAAATCAGATTTATGGACAAATACTTTAGAAACAAGAGGTTATAAAATAAGGAATAGAACAGAATATATGCAATATAAGTTACAGAATAACAGGAGTGGAAATCATGTACACTTAGCATTGGAGATAAAGAGATAACTCAATGTGGCTTCTTTAATTACCTCCATTCAATAATCCATAAAAAGGGGAGAGATTGAGGAGGATGTCAATCATTGAATTAAAATAGGCTGGGCATAGAGTGGTTCATTCAGAGTCATATGTGATAGGAGAAAACTACTTAGACTAAAGGGAGAATTTTATACAACTGTTGTAAGGCCAACAATGTTGTTGGTTGTATGCAGCAGAATGTTGGGCAGTCAAGAAACATGTTTAAAAACAGATGTGGCAGAAATGTGAATTTTCAGATGGATTAGTGAGAAAGCTAGGAAGGACAGGATCAGAAATCAAAGGAAAATAACAGTAGCTTCAATAGGTAATAAAATGAGGAAAAGCATACCAAGATGGTGTAGTCACATGTGGAGAAAATAATCTATGCAAGCCTAGCTCTATTGTTGAGATCCCATTTGTTTTCTATTCCCTATTTTATTTTTTTTATTAGATTCCTTGTGGAACTTGTAATTTGATTATGTTTCAATTCAATGAAATTTTGGTTTCAAATATCTATGACCTTAGTTTACAACCATCTCAGATACAAATTTAAAATGTTTCTGGGATAGTTCAGGCCGATTTGGTCAGAAGGGCCAGATGTTATGATGCCTTTTATGTTGAAACCTGGGATCACATGATCCATGGTTCTTGAGTTGTGTTAGATTTAATGTAGTTCAGGTTTTAGCATGGTATGCACCATATTCTAAGTGCACCGACCTAATTTGGTATCCTCCAGTCTATGCATGAGGTTTCTATTCGCCTCCCCCCCCCCCTCAAAAAAAAAAAAAAAAAGAGAGAAGAAAAGCTATTCTATTTCTAACGGTCTGTTTGAGCCGTTCAGGAAATCCTGCTCTAAGGCATGGCAAACCCGGGTCTGGATTTGGTTTTGGTTATGGGCTTCGATTGAAATCAAACATTGGTCAGTTCCAGATTGATTATGCCACAAATGCCTTTTGGCAAAAGACTGTCTACTTTGGCATCAGCAACCTTGTTTCTTGAAAGCGATATTGTGCCTGAAGATAGGCTTCATGTTGAAATCCATGGAATGCGCAAGACATGGATACGCAAGGAACTTTTTTGAGGAAAACAATTTATGACTGGAAGATACTGAAGATTTATTCCATCAATTTAAGCTTTGACTGAGCTCCACTTGCACACCAATCATACCATTGCAATTGTCTCGCATATTTTTTATATTTTAACCATAGCATTTTGAATTTTCGGAAGAAATTGGTAGAACAATTACTTAACATGTCATGGAACTCTTATGCAAGTGAGATAGCTTGGGTAGGGTTAACACAAATTTTGTATTTAAAGCAACTTCTGAAGGATACTAGGAGATAGTGCAGAAATATGTGCTAAATCTAGGAGATAAAATTTATGATCACTGTTATTCTTATTATTCATTTTATTTATATTTTATTCACAAATTACATCTACAGCACATGTTAAAAAAAGTGATCTATTACAAGTTGAAGGGGCTAGAATTAGGGGGAGACCAAAAAGGATTTCCATGAAATGAAAGTAATAAGAAATGATTTGAGTGCCATATGGCACTGAACAGAATAGAATGGCAAAATACATGGTTTTTGCACTCTAGTATATGAATTTGCACTCTTTCCAAACTAAGCCTTATGTACTAAAGATGACAGTTATCACAATTTCTAAGACATGTTTGCATTCAAAATGAGAACAAAGTTTGTATCTAAATCCAAAAAGTGTATACAAGCTTTGCACTCAAAATTGGGCATTGTAAAAAAGTTGGAATTTGATCTTGAAATTCATGTTTATACTTGCCACAACCAAAAGCCATTTGGAAAGAATACAAAATTTATTAATATTATACTAGAGTTAAATCTATCAACCAAATAGAATAACCAAATTGGAAACATTCTCCAATTACTAAAAGGGAAAATTTCTGTTTAGTACCCTAAACTTTGGGGATAGTGTCAGCTGTCATGTTAGTGTCCAAACTTTCAAATGTATCACTGTAATATCTAAACTTTCAAAAAGTGTCAAGTTGGTCTTTGCCGTTAACCAACCGTCAGTTATTTGATCATGCGATGACATGTGTAACTTAAAATTGTTGACAATATCAAAACTGCCCTTTAAAAGAAGACACTGTTCATTGTCTTCTATCTTAATACTGAACCGGTTGAGGTGTAAAAGTAAAACCACTGCCGTTTTTTGGTTTAATAATTAATAATAAAAACTAAATGTCACTATCCTTGAAAAAATAACATATGGCAATAGTCTAAAGTAAATAGAAAGAAAAAAAGGCACAATCAGTTTAAATGACAATATAATCAACAAACAATATACCTGAAGCAGCCTCCAAGGTGAATTAGGACAGTGGATGGGGTCAGCAACTTGAATAGAAGATATAGTCCCCATGAACCAGCTTATCTGTGAAGAATCTTTTGTCTCAAATGCCATCTTGAACCTCATTCCTGGACACCACTGTATCTGCTTTGTTGCCTTTATAGCTGATGCCTTCACACTCTTGGAGTGCTTGCTCTTGGGTAGTAAACGACCTCAAAGGGCTGCCCATTGGCAGCCAGGGTTGCAGCCTCAATGACAGATTCAGCCCTCACTCTCCCCCGTATTCTTAAACCCACACCAGAGTTTGAATTCCCACAATTGACATTTCTCATTATTTTGTTTTCATCTTCCCTTAAGAAGACAAAAAAACCCATATATGGCGAGACAGTTTCCAGCAACTGGATTCCGTCCAGATGGGGATTATGGTCCACTGCCAACACCTCTTTTTTCCCTTTGGATTCCAACGTAGATCTCACCATTCTCTGCTCTCAGGAACACGATTGAATCCCCTGCAATGAGCTTCTTCTGGTTCACAAAGGTACTCCATTCTGTTGTCAGGAGGTGGCGACGTGGTGTACCCCTATAAATATGTTGGAATTTCCAAACCTCTCCATGAACATCCTTGGCAAGAACAGTTTGCACAGGAGGATATGCAGAATAGTCCAGGCGGGGGAAGATTGTCTCAGCACAGTACCGAGGGACAGAGAAACCACCACCATTGTTGGCATCAGATTGTGTTAGGGTCTTTGCAAAAGAGGCAGGTTTCTCTGCAAAAGCGGCAGGTTTCTCTACAATGTCAGATCCGTTATTTTCAAGAACCCCATCATCATCATAGTCGGGTTCGTTGTTCGGAAGGGTACCAACCTTATCTTCGCATAAACCTCGTCTGTCTCAGGGTCTATCAAGTATTTCACTAGAGAAAATGGCAGTGGTTTTACACCTCAATCATTCAGTTTCAAGGTAGAAGACAACGAACAATGTCTTTTGAAAGACAGTTTTGACATTTTTAAAAATTTTAAGTTGCACATGCCATTGCGTGATCAAATAATTAATTGTTGGGTTAACGGAAGGACCAACTTGACACTTTTTGAAAGTTTGATACTACAGTAATACATTTGAAAGTTTGGGTATTAGCTTACACTACCCCCAAAGTTCAGGGAAGTAAAGCAGAATTTTCCATAGACTCAATTTGGAAGGAGTAAAAATACAAATATGTAGAGTGCAAATCCGTGTATTATTATATTATTTTGTATGCATTTACACTGAATCTATCAACGAAACCCCTCCTAATGGCTTACTAATGTATACATTTTTATATTATTTTGTATATCTACTCTTTCCAAACTAAGCCTTACTAAAACCCTTGGACACCTCATGGTACAATTGTTGAAGTCAAATCTATCAACGAAACACAATCTTTCTATATTAAATCAATGGGTAAAAGACTTAAACCTCCCTTGAGGTTTCACCTAAATACTGAAACCTCCCCTAATGGCTCACATAACACGACAAAAACCACTAAATTTTTATCAAACCTGGTAGTACCCCTATTTAACTCAATAATGCTTTCTTCAATGGAAACAAAGAAAACTCTTATATACCAAACTTCCAAGTTATCTCAACATATTTTTTGACTTGTTGTTCCCTTCATTTGTCTCCCTAACTCGTTCCAAATCACTATTGGTTGGGACTGCTATCCTTGTGAAAATCGTGCAGAATAACCAAATTCTTGGAAAAACAAATTAATTCCTCTTTCATCACAACAAACCTAGCTCTCATAATATATATATATATATATATATATATATATATATATATATATAACAATTAAAATGAAAGGAGAATATTTTAATTGTTATAGCCGGAGGTCCGGTCAAGGTAAGGGATTGTCATTACCAAAACCATTTTAATTGTTTGCAAATTGAAAGGAGAATATTCAGTTGGTATGGTATTTTTGTTTGGCCAAGAAGCAATCTTTATTATTACAGTTAAACATATAGAACACCGTGCATGAGAGCATTTTTTTTGTGTCTTGTATTTGTTAAGGTTAACAGTATAATCTTGTATTTATACAATAGATTCATGTTTAAAATTTATATTATTACGTTCATGTTTCACATTAATACAGTTTGAAAAAATAATCAAGGATAAAAGAGTCTTTGTATTGGTGTTGTTAAATATAACGGCATATATATTGACAGGGGAGGTTTAAGTCCTGTGAAACATTAGGGGGAAAGTCTTAAGTATTTATGAGAAACCTTGGGGGAGGTTTGTGTCTTACATAGAATCTAAATAAAAACACAACACCATGGTTCCAAGAAATGCCTTTAGCCTTCTTTGCTAGGCTACCAGCTCTTTATGCATATATAGGGAATGCATTTTTGCTAGTTGGTCATTTCAGATCAGTGAGCTTCCCTAAACGTTCCAGTGATCTTCGACATGAGAACTTAGTTATTAATTGAAAAGGGGTTTTCATTTTTGCTAGTTCTCTCTCTCTCTATATATATATATATACTTTGAAATGTGTTTTACTAAATTGTTTCATATAAACAAATTTTCAATTTGTTTTGTTCATGAAATACTTTAATTCATTTTATTAATACATGCATTATTGTGATTATTTTTAGTTTAATTTAATTATACTATTCCAATTTGATTATAAATGAGTTAAACTCGGATCTACCTATATCTGATTAGATTTGATCCATTTTCATTACTACACACAAGAGAGTTGGACTGGAGGAATAGATGGCCCACTCAAGAAGATCTTGTCTAATGGAATGTCTAGATCAATCACAGCATTCATGCATGTGACACACATGGATGGTGTCTTGAATAGAAGCTCCCTACTTTAGAAAACCATTTTTTGCATATGTATATAATATTTATAACACCAAAGAAGACAAAAATACAACCATCCTTTTTGGGTCATGGTTGAGCTAGTCTTGAGAGACATGTGGCCGCCCAGTCATCGCCTGGTCATCCTGGTCACGTTGGCATAGCTCGGCCACGTCGGCATAGCTCGGCCGAGCTATTCTACTATTGTGGCCCCCCATCTTATCCCCTCAGTCATGTCAGCTACACGTCATGCAGATAAACACAACTACATATAAAAGGAGAGAGGAAGACAACTCCGCCAGGGAATAGGACTCCAGCCCAAAGACCTCGGTGGTAAACCTCATCTCGATAACCCCGAAAGCCCTTCGGCTATAAAGAGGCATTCCCCGCTCAAGGTAAGGGATCCAAATTTGACACCCATACTGTTACTCTACTTGGACCAGCACCCTTATTGCTCAGCCCGACCATCCACCACCTCCTACTGACTTGAGCATCGGAGTGCCTACTCAGGGATAACTCCTCGGGCCTCTGACTTCTCTTCTCTTGATCACAGGTCTTGAAGCGCGGCCTCGTCCTTGTAGCTCGACACTGCCCTATTAGCAAGGACTATCTGGTTGCTCTCCTCAATTTGTGCACCACCACGGATTGAGCAATATCAAATTGGCGGCTTCTGTGGGAAATGCACAAAATGCCTTTCCCGAAAATCTTTTCTTCCTCACTGTGCAAACAAAAAAGCGATCAAGATGCCCAAGAACCAGTCTGAATGATCAATAGGTCGATCCCCATATTGGGAATCTCGGCGTCATAGCCCTCCGCATCAAGAAATTCCATAGCCTCCAGCCACGGTTGATCCTGCACAGTTCCGAGCAATGCAAAAGAAGGTCAATAAGATCTTCGAGATGATGCAAACACTAGGATTCGCAGCACCGCCCAACCGGGCTGTCCCCCATCATACCTCGACACGCACGAAGGATGATCCTCATCTCGAGGACCCCAAAACGCATCGGCCGGAAAGGAGGGGAGCGCAGTCCGACCATGAGAAGCAAGACACAACAAGGAGGTCCGCCTCCATGGCCCACTCTCGTGAGCCCGACAACCACAGTAGGATGCACCAAACCATGCAAATCCCCGCCAAAGAGAGGCTTGGTAGGCGGACGCCACCTCGTGTGGTCTCCATTGCTGAGTCCAACTCGGTGAAAGATCGCTCGCACGACCCAACAAGGTGAA